AAAGCGAGCGCTCTACCACTTGAGCTACAGCGCCACTTCCGGTTTTCTGGTTGTTTATTGGAGATAAGAGTCTCACAGTCTCTCCTGCCCGGGCTGGCTTTGAACCGTGATCCTCAGATCTCAGCCTCCTGAGTAGCTAGGATTACAGGCGTGAGCCACCAGCACCCGTCTATTTAAAGGAATTCTATCAGTTTAAACTAAAAGAAACACTGGTCCAACTGAAAGAAGTCTATGCTTTTCAATTTTTTGGGGGGGGGAGGGGGGAGGAGTCCGGTCGTGGGGCCTGAACTCTGGGCCTGGGCACTGTCACTCAGCTCTTCAGCTCAAGGCTAGCATTCTACCACTTGAGCCACAGTGCCATTTCCGGCTTTTTTCTTTTTGCTTATGTGGTGCTGAGGAATCGAACCCAGGGCCTCATGCAGGCAAGGCAAGCGCTCTACCACTGAGCCATCTTCCCAGCCCTAGTCTATGCTTTTCAAACTGGCACATTCATGAACCAAACTTAAGACTGCTGCTTAGGTACAAAGTAACACTCATCTCTTATGGAAAAGTAACGTGTGATTCAGGATTAACACTAACTCAAAGGTTCCAGGCCAAAGATCAGAAAATCAGTGAACTGTGAAATCATTACCAAGGATATACCAAGTTATAGTCAAGCAACAACTTCTGTTTAAAGTTTAGAATGGCTTTGCAGATTCTAGTACATGATGCTCTATGCTTCCTAGTCCTCCACTAGAAATGGAAGTGAATATGTGATCATCAATCCCTGTCGAGACAGGGATGGAGGTGATGGTGTGGGGAAGAGGAAGAGTAACTTGTCTTCTTTGTTCCTAGGTCCTAATCAAGAAGAACCACATCCAAAGTCACATATACATCTGAGCCTGATGCAGAACAAGGCTCATGGATTCTGATGAAATTTCTAGAAATCCTGGAAATATGGGGTATATGTTACATGGTAGAGAGATATGAACTGTCCACAGGGGTAGAACTGTGCCAAGTTACTCTCAATTCTTCCCATTCTTTTACATACATGCTATACCTTCCACCACAGCACAACTCCTGAGAATGGGGTACTCAACTGCAAGAATTTGGTGGAAATGATACTGTGTAGTTATAAGCCCAATTCTTCACAGGACTAACAATCTCTGTTTTGCTCTTCTACAACCCTGGAATCACCACATAAAGATATCTAGGCCATCATTCTGGAGTGGCCAAGAACAAAGAAAATCCTTAGTTGATGAACAGACTATGCCACTGGAGAACAAATGAGAAGTATCAACTAGAACCAGTTTAAGACCCAATATATCTGGAGGAGATCATCTTTAACTCTCTACCTACTTGAGTCACCTTAGGCAACACCTTGTAAGCCAGATCATGCTGGCTGAAATAAATAATAATACTTTGAATAAATAATAATACTTTGCATACTTAATCATAATCATCATCATCATTATAATCATCTAAACCTAACAAGAAAAGATCATACAGAATAACTGAAGTCATATATACTGCAGGTTAAAAGGTATCAGCCACACAACATTTTAAGAGAAGAAAATAATTCATCTTAATAATATGAAAAGGCCTTGATCTTTTGCTGATCACAGATACATTAACCGAGAGAAAATAAGCTACATCCACATTTTAAAAGTTAATGTGATTTTTAGACAATATACTTAAACAAAGTTCTAAGTATGTTCTAAGAACATACATGTACCATCAATCCCTGTTGAGACAGGGATGGAGGTGATGGTGTGGGGAAGAGGAAGAGTAACTTGTCTTCTTTGTTCCTAGGTCCTAATCAAGAAGAACCACATCCAAATCACATATATATCCGAGCCTGATGCAGAACAAGGCTCATGGATTCTGATGAAATTTCTAGAAATCCTGGAAATATGGGGTATATGTTACATGGTGGAGAGATATTGTTCACTTTACTAAGTGAACAATAGTACCAGATCCACAAAGGAATACTCTCACCATATAAAGAACTAATCTAACTGAAAAGAGAAATGTAACCTACAATGGAAAAGATTTCCTAATTCAAATGCTTCCCTAAAAGAAAGAAATCTCTTGATATTTTTTTTTCATTTTAGCAAAACAAACCAATGATTAGGTATTGGACAAAATGTTAGGCACTAAGTATATATTATATAGTAAAAACAAAATAGAGATTGTTCTTGTGTTCACTTGCTTACATTCTAGTGAGCATCTATCCCAAGCTGACATTTAGCTGGGATGTAATGATCCATTGAGTACATCATAAAAGAAATTCACATTCTACTTACAAAAGTTAAAATACATGACCTACAAGGTTACCTCTAAATTTCAATTATTATTAATTATAGCACTATGACCCAAAATACTGTAATTATTCTAACATATAAAAATATCTAGGTATAGAAATGAATATAATGCCACAGACAAACCAGGATAAACACACTCAAAGAGACACACATGGGGGAGGTTGTTCACGTTTTCACCTATAAAACAACTGCATCAGTTTCTATGCCGTTATCATACGCAAATGACTTTTAAACAATTTCAATCCTCATTAAGAAATTTTTATTTTCATCTCAAGTAATAAAAAATCTCCTTCATAACTTTCTTGTGCTAGTTAAAATAATCACAAAGAAATTAATATCTATGATTTCTCAAGGATATCTTATGTTAATATACCTTTCCATGGCTTTAGCTGTGTAAGGCAAATGCATTTCAATACTGTGCTCATCTTCATCAGTCTGTAGGGACATGCGTTCAAACATCCCTGTCTTCCATAGCTCTCCGTAAACTAAAGAGAGTACAAAACACAGTAAGACAAAAATATTAGTGTGCATTTTTACCTTGGAACACCACTCTCCATAACACAAAGGTAAAAGACAACAGCACCAAACAGTGCTCTACTTCACTTTCATTAAGACAACAACAAATTTTACAGATACAAAAATAGTACATGTAAAGACTTACTCATTTGCCTAAGTAGCATAGTTATATTAAAATAATTTAAACTTTTTATTTCTTTATTTCTAAAATTACCTTTGAGTAAAGGCTTTTGGCTTTAATCAGTACTTACTAGGAAGAAAGGTTAATTCCTACTAAAATATGAAAACACCATTAATCTGCTTATGTATACAGTTAAGAATACAATTTGAATTCTATTTTTTTTCTAATAAAATATATGGTATTATTATTTCATACTTCAGCCTGTCATACCAAAAACCATAAAATCACCACTTACAAACTATTTTCCTCAAACTTCAAAATTAAGTTCATGATATAATCAGAATATAAATTCATAGTACCATGCCAATCTAAAATGCTCTAGCATTTTTATTCAGACCCTTCTAATAAACTATACTCAAAACTAGAATGAAATCTAGTAAGTAAAAACTGTAATGTGAAAATATTTTAAAATAGATCCTTAAGTGAGTTAATCAATTTCAAATAAATAAATGGTGCCAGGTGCAAACCAGATACAGCAATACACACCTGTACCCAGCTACATAGAAGATACAGGTGCCAACAAGGCACACCACTACACACCTGTACCCAGCTATATAGAAGACACAGGTGCCAACCAGGCACAGCACTACACACCTATAACCAGCGACATAGAAGACATAGGTGCCAGCCAGCTACAGCACTACACACCTGTAACAAGCTACACGGGAGGCATAGATGCAAGCCAGGTACAACACTACACACCTGTAACCAGCTACATGGAAGACATAGATGCAAGCCAGGTACACATGAAGACATAGGACTGAGGTTGGCCACAGGGGACAAACACAAGGCCCTTTTTAGAAAAATAACTAAAGCAAAAAGGGGTAAGGACATAGCTCAAGTGACAGAAGACTTGCCTTAAAAGAACAAGATCCTGAATTGAAGATTTCAATACTGCTTCCCCCAGACTGCCCCCCAAAAAAGAGCTGGAGGTGTGGCTTAACTAGTAGAGTGTCTGCTTAGCAAGTTCAAGGCCATGAATTCAAACCCCAAAGCAAAAACAACAGGAAAATTGAGTTGGAACTGGCGGCTCATGCCTGAAATCCTAATGACTAAAGATTAGGCTAAAATGGGGAGAATTATGATTTGAGGATAAGCCAAGTAGAAAAAATTTTAAGCGACTCCTTGATCAATAGCTAAGCATTCTGGAACATTCCTGTCACCCCAGCAACAGGGGATGCCAAGATGAGAAGGACTACAGTTCCAGGCCAGCTCCAAAAGAAAAAAAAAGTCTGCAAGAATCTATCTCAACAGAAGAAGCAGAGCATGGTGACTTACCATCCCAACTCGCATGGGAAGCAAATAAGAAGACTGTTATCTAGGAGTATGACCGGGCAGAGAAGAGGCTATCTCAAAAATAACAAGCACAAAAAAGGGCAGAAAGCATCGCTACATGGAGGGAAAGGAGAGAGAAGGAGGGAAGACTTGTTCTACAAAATCATACCTGTTTAAAAATTACCCATTTCTTTGCTGACAGCCTATCCAAACTAGTTTTCTAAATGCCCCTTAAAAGTAAAGTATGTCCTGGACATCTACCCAGAATATCACATGCCAGGATACTTGCACATCCATGTTCATTGCCACACTATTCACAATAGCCACGTTATGGAAACAACCCTACAACAGATGAGTGGACCCAAAAAATGTGGTACCTATACACAATGGAATTTTAAACAGCCATTAAAATAAGTAATATTTTATCATCTGTGGGGAAATGAATGGACTTAGAACAAATCATGTTAAGTGAGGTAAGCCAAGCTCAGAGAGACAAACAGTGCATGTTTTCTCTCATATGTACTAGTTAGAACTAAAATACACTAGGAAACAAATTATATAAGACTCCAGGCATTCACATACAGTGAGACCAAAGGAGGACATTCTTAGGAAAGGAACACAAAGGAACAATGACTGTGCTTCTGATTATATAAAATAATGTGCAAAGGAACTCCAGGAAATGGAAACAAGAGGGTTTTTGTTGTTGTTGTTGTTGTTTTCTATCTTGTTCGTTCATTTATCTGTCTTTGGTGGGGTAAAGAGAAAACATAGAAATGAAGGGACTGAGGGTAAACAAATGCAGCAGTGGCACTCACTAGACACTATGTGGAAAATGAACTATACAATTTGTGGGTGGGGACAGGAGAAAAAAACTGGGAGAGAGTAATGGAAGCGATGACACTATCCAAAAAGAAATAAACTCTCTATCTGACTTATGTAACTGCAATTCCTCTGTATATCACATTTATAATAACAATTAAAAATAAAAAGTAAAGTGTGTTCAGGAGCTGGTGGCACACCCAGGTAACCCCACCTACACAGGAAACTGAGATCTGAGAATCACGGTTTAAAGCCAGCCCAAACAAGAATGTCCATGAGACATTTCTAATTAACCACAAAAAGCCTGAAGTAGAGCTGTGGCTCAAATGGTAGAGTGCTAGACTTGAGTGTAAAAGCTCAAAAACAGCCTTTGGACTGGCAAAAAGTAAAAATAAAAAAGTTAAGGGACTGGGAAGGTGGCTCAATGGTAGAGCGCTTGCCTTGCATGCCTGAGGCCCTGGGTTCGATTCCTCAGCACCACATAAGCAAAAAGAAAAAAGCCGGAAGTGGCGCTGTGGCTCAAGGGGTAGAGTGCTAGCCTTGAGCTGAAGAGCTGAGGGACAGTGCCCAGGCACAGAGTTCAGGCCCCACGACCAGACCCCCAAAATAAATAAATAAATAAATAAATAAATAAGTTAAGTATCTTCCCTAAAACTATCTCAAGCAGTAAAGCTAGTAATACTCCTGGCAAGGCTAATAATACTCTAGCAAAGCTATTAATACTCCAGTTTCATTAATAAGATCCAGTCTAACAAGTTGGTAAAATACTATAACATTTCAATCCTCAGATTAAGAAAATTAAAGCACTTCCATACAACACCTTAATAACAATAAAATTATATTTACAGAAAATTAAAGAAAAAAAGAAAAAGAGCTAACCTCTTCTTTTGAAATGGAAACTTTTAGTCAAAAAAACTACTGCAAAGTTTATTGAAGCAATATATCCCTGTCATATATAAAATACAATGGAAAAAAATATATATACAGCGTTAGCTGGAAAAAAAATAAAATACAATGGAATGAACTGAAGTATTATTTCAGAGAAAAAGGTAAAACTGAGATCAGGATAAGGAAAACTCTAGGCAAATGGTAGATAGTGAGTACATCTTTTCGCAATACAATTCTATACACTGTTCTGGAATGTTTTCATTTTCTTTCCTATATGCCTAAAAATACCTTTATAAAGTCAAAAGGTGTTGTCATATGTGTTTATTGTGTAACAATTTTACTGTGAAACAGCTAACAAAAACTGTGATCTCTGGAAAGTAAAATATATTTAAGATTCATATAACACCATTCAGAATTTTACAACTATAGGCTCTTAAAAATTATCTGAGAACAAATAAAGACATTGTGACCATTATGTACTTAAAGTGAGAAATATGATCCACATGGAAGTATACTAACATGCTAAGAATCTTTCATCAAGTTAATATGGATATTAACTTTTTTTTTTTTTTTGGTCGGTCGTGGGGCTTGAACTCTGGTCCTGGGTGCTGTCCTTCAGCATTTCAGCTCAAGGTGAGTGCTCTACCATTTGAGCCACTGTGCCACTCCCAGTTTTCTGGTGGTTTATTTGAGATAGAGTCTCACAGACTTTCCAGCCCAGGCTGGCTTTGAACCGCAGTCCTCAGATCTCAGTCTCCTGAGTAGCTAGGATTAGAGATATGAGCCACCGGCACCCAGCTGGATGTTAACTTCTGATCTCAAGGAACAACTACCACATAATCATTCTTTGAATATAAACAAGTATAGTGTGGAGACTGGTAGATCTGACAGATTGTTTTTGAGGGGTTTTTTTGTTTTGTTTTTTTGAGTACTAGTGTTTGAGCTCAGGGGCTCCATGCACTCTATCACTTGAGTAATAACCTCCATCTTTTGCCTCAACTATTTTTCCAATAAGGTTGCCTCCCCATCCCCCAGGGAGAACTATGTTCTCAGTCAAAATCCTCTTACCTATTCCTCCTATGTAGCTGCATTTATAAGTTTATTTATTGAGACAGGGATTCTAAAAGCTTCTTGCCTAGGCTGGACTTGAACTATGATCTGTGATCTGACTTATCTCCACCTCCTTAGTAGCTGACATTACAGGTATAAGCCACTGTGTCCCACCTTGACAGATACTGAAGGTAGTAGCAAGGACACATGAATTCTCATTTAGGGTATGGAAGATTTTCTTTTATTGTTTTTGTTTAATGCAAAGTAGTTACAACATTTATTTTTTAAAGTGAGACATAATTGAAAATATTTAAGTTTTTGAATTAAATTTCAATCCTAACTATTTCAAAGCTCTAACACTTCCTCATACTTACTCTTTTGGTCAATACGAAGGTCATAGAGAGGTGTCCTATATATGTCCACACTGGAAAGTGCACATCGAGAGAGGGGCACGTGATGAGAAGGCCCAAGGATGAAAACTCTCCGTCTAGGAGACACACAACAGAAGACAAAACCATTGCACTTCCACACAAACCTTCCCAAACAAGGAAAAAATAACAACAATGAAAAAATTACTTGTTTTCCTTTCTTGACTATTTTTTATACCCTTCCATCAACATGAGAGCTGGACTGGGTTCTCCCAGAATTCATAAATGCAGTCCTGACTACAATGGAATTTTGACGTAAGGTCTTCAAAGGTCTGAAAATGAAGCCAGTAGATGGGATGATAACCAATGTGACTGTTGTACTTATTATATAAGAAGACAGAAGAGGCAGCCCTCCTTGTCAGAGAAACCTCAAGGAAATCAGCCTTCCTCTAGTACATTGGTATTGGACTTTCAACTTTCCAGAACTGTTTCTTATGTTGTTTATGCCACAGTCCAGAGAATTCTGTTACAGAAGACTAAGCAAACTAATACAATTAATAATGATTTCCTCCTTGCTTATTTAAGTTCAATTTCTTATGCTCCTCCCAGCCTCCATCCCCTTATTCCACTGGAGGAATGGCTATATCACATATGTCCACAGCCAGTTTTGCATTGGTTTTTTTTTGGATTTTTTTTTGTCGGTTGTGGGGCCTGAACGCTGGCCTGAGCGCTGTCCCTCAGCTGTTCAGCTCAAGGCCAGTGCTCTAACACTTAAGCCACAGCGCTACTTCCAGCTTTTTCTGCTTATGTGGTGCTGAGGAATCAAATCCAGGGCTTCATGCATGCAAGGCAAGCGCTCTACCACTGAGCCACCTTCCCAGCCCCAATGCATTGGTTATTTTTAAAGCAGGATCTCCCTCATGCCTGGACCCGCCTAGACTTCCCATATCATGGACAATGACAGGTGCACCACTGCATCCAACCACTGTACTTCCCCTATTGCTGGGTTAACAGGCTTGCACCATCACATCCAGCCATTGGTTGAGATGGAGTGAAAACTTTTATGCCTGGGCTAGCCTCAAATCAGAATTTTCTGATCCGAGGCAATCAATTTGTACAATAAAGCAACCTGCTTTTCATAAGTCATCCCTGTATTCATAATATAAGAACAGGTTTTCAGCATTATATTTGATTGAAATTCAAACATTTCAGCTATTAAAATCGCAAATCCTAATAGCTTCTAAAATCCCTCACAAGTTAATAAAAATAAATAATGGTATAAACTTCTAGAGTTATATAAAAACCATTGCAAATAAACATTTCAGGAAAGTGAATTCCACATTTCTTCCATGGCAGAGAACTCCCCTCCACCCCCCTTCTCTCTCTCTCTTGCCAGTCCTAGGGCTTGAACTCAGGGCCTGAGCACTGTCCCTGAGCTTCTTTTGCTCAAGGCCAGCACTCTACCACTTGAGCCACAGTGCTTTTTCTGACTTTTTCTGTTTATGTGGTACTGAGGAATTGAACCCAGAGCTTCATGCATTTTAGGCAAGCACTTTACTACTAAGCCACAGTCCCAGCCCAGCAGAGAACTCTTAAGTAATAAGCTTTCTCTATTTTCCTTTCAGTAGAAGGCATCTTCAAAAACAATTGTTGCTGGATTGCTATTTGCACTGAAGTCCAGCTAAAGAAAGAACTGTGCTAAACTGTAGTTTAAATCTTTGCAGTCCCTTTTTTTTCAAGTCAAAAGTATCTCAAATTTCCAAACCAGCTCTGCAATGTAAATTCCAAACAGTCCATTTTCTCTAAAGAGTCAAAGGGGCCAATATTCCCCTACCACACAGTAACAGCAAAACCAATTCCAGACTCACAGAAATACAATGATTTATGAAGAAGGGAATACAGAACAGGTTTTGTACCTAGTTTTGCACTAAGATGATAGTTTTTCACATCAAAATTTTGTAAGCCAAGAAATGTGTCCAGTAGAATTCAATGCTGTGTTGGGCATGATGGCCCATGCCCACATGCCAACTCAGGAGGCCAAGAAAGAGAAGCCGATTCTCCTCCCTTCAAGGTCTCATGTTAGAAATTCATCTCATCCTCAGCCCACTTCTAGGCAAATGTGTCTGTTTCTACCTTCACCCCAAGTGTTTGGAGCACTATAGGTAACCTTTACTCTCCATCAGTACTCTCTCAAGGACTAGATAACCATTTCAGAAAGTTACATATTCTTAAATGAACAAAACAGAGAAATACCGTTTTGTTCTCCTATGTTAAAAATACATAAATATTATGAAAAATGCATTTATTGCAGGCTAAGGTGAAACATAAATAATGGTAATAGGCATGTTTCAGTCACTTGACTAATGCCAGATATGTTGTTCTACAGTACCAGCTACTCAGGGGCAGAGGCAGGAGAATCGCCTGAGTCAAGGACGACTCAAGTAGGAAAGGGGCATTTTCTGATTGAGGAATAAATTGCTAGAAAAAGACTGATGAATATAACATTTAAAATCCAGAAAATTCTAGGACATCTGGTTAAAATTCTAAATAATACATATGAAATGTCAGTCTAAACTCCAAGGCATATATAACTTTTAACTTAAATATGTAACAAGTAATTATTGCCAAAAAGTGACCAGGGCTGCAAAAATAAGCACTAGAGGTGGGCTAGAAGCCCAGGTCCTCCCCCAATGCTTGCCTTTTTGTCAACCCTAACCTACACCAGGGGAAAAGAGCTTGGAAAAATCTAAATTCACCAACTGTTGGCCCCCTAGATACTTTCCAGTTTGGTAGAAATTCAGCCATAGCTAACATAATAAGGTTTCACATTTGATTTAGAAAAATCAAAAATATGAGGCAAAATTTTTGCTTAATATAAAGCATTTAAAAATCATATACTCAAAAGCAATGCAGAAAAACTACAAAACATTGAAAGGGGGTAGTATCAGGCATAGTAAGCCAGAAATAATTTCACATAGGTCTTGGTTAGCCAAATGCTTTTTGTTCATCAGTTGAAGATAAGAGTTTTTTAGATTTGTCTTCCCAGGCTGGCTTTGGACCACGAGCCTCAGATCTCCGCTTCCTAAGTAGCTAGGCATGAGACACCAGTTCCTGGCATCAGTTCATTCTTTAGCCATCTAACAATTTAGCTTCTAAGGGTTTTCTTGTTTTTTTAAATACTAATCTATATTATTAGTACTAAAAATAGTTATCCAATACTGTTCATTGTTACATTATAAGCTAGGAGTATTTTAATATAATTTAATCTTTTTAATTATCACTTTTAATAATGTCTAATCATGTCTCATAAGCAAGAATAGTGTTCCAAATTAGCTGAGACTAGAAATTATTTTCTAGTTAACATAATACATTCATCTACCCAGCATATATACCTTGATGTCTTAAACTAAACATTTTACAAGTTGTCACTTAATATTCCACATTTTATCTTGTCATTCTAAGACCTTGTTTTGTTTTGTTTTTTGGTTGGTTGCGGGCCTGAACTCTGGGCTTGGGCGCTGTTTCTGCACTCTTCAGCTCAAGGCAAGCGCTCTACCGCTTGAACCACAATGCCATTTCCAGTTTTCTAGTGGTTTATTGGAGATAAGAGTCTCAGGGACTTTACTGCCTGGGCTGGCTTTGAACCACGATCCTCAGATCTCAGCCTCCTGAGGAGCTAGGATTACAGGCATTAGCCACCGGCACCCCACTCTAAGACCTTTTTAAAGCATACAAGTACTCCACTATTTTTTTTTGTTTTTTTTTTGGGGGGGGCAGGGGGTCCAGTCATGGGGCCTGAACTCTGGGTCTGGGCGCTGTTCCTCAGCTCAAGGCTAGCACTCTACCACTTGAGCCACAGCGCCACTTCCGGCTTTTTTCTTTTTGCTTATGTGGTGCTGAGGAATCGAACCCAGAGCCTCAGGCATGCAGGGCAAGTGCTCTACCCCTGAGCCACCTTCCCAGCCCGCCCCAAGTACACCACTATTTTTAAGTGCTATGAAGTGCCAGATTATTTAAATGGCGGTGCTGGGTTTTGAGCCAAAGGCTCCCTACGTGCAAATCAAGTGCTCTGCTATGTAGTACATTTTCTTCTACACTTCTCATAGTTCCCAGAATTATGTTTTTTCTCTATTTTCTCATAGGACTGCAAAGATACTGCAATCCACAGGAAAGGGCTTTTTTGAGAGAATACAGCTGTGACTATCAATTATTATTTTGACATTTAAACTTTTTGTTGTTGTTGTTGGTTGTGGGGCTTGATATCTGGGCCTGGGAGCTATCCCTGAACTCTTCAGCTCAAGGCTAGCACTCTACCACTTGAGCCACAGCACCACTTCTGGTTTTCTGGTGTTTAACTGGAGATACACAGACATTCCTGCCCAGACTGGCTTTAAACTGTGATCCTCAGATCTCAACCACAATTTTAAAAGTATAATAATTAACTACAAAATGATTAAAGGACTATGCATCCATCTTTAAAAATGTTCATCTCTAAGTTTTCAAAGAAATTTTTAAATTTTAACTTTTTATAGTTTCAGAATGAAACCAAAGAGAAGGTAAAGGCTAAATGTTCATACACAGAAAAAAAACCCTAAGGTATGTTCTAACATCATAAAGTCAAATTTCTTTTTTTTTTTTTTTTTGGTCAGTTGTGGAACTTGTACTCTGGGCCTGGGCACTGTCCCTGAGCTCTTCAGCTCAAGGCTAGCACTCTACCACTTGAGCCACAGTACCACTTCCAGTTTTCTGAGTGGCTTATTGGAGATAAGAGTTTCATAGACTTTCCTGCCCAGGCTAGCTTTGAACTGTGATCCTCAGATCTCAGCCTCCTGAGTAGCTAGGATTACAGGCGTGAGCCACTGTCACCTGGCCTAAAGACAAATTTCTAACTGCAATGAATTACAAAAATTACGACAAATGAAAAACAAGTTACTTCCATGACAAAGCAGTCATCATCACGTAATTCTGAAACATCCCAGTTTGAACTAACTACATTACTTACGTAATAGATGGATCCACTTGTTTGTAAGCATGGGCAGCACAAGACCCACAGTACGTGTATCCTGCATGGCTACAAAACAAAATAATTTTTTAATCGAATTCAAAATCATGATATCCTGAAAAAGCACTTTAGAAAGAAATACAATTAACTACAGTAAGCACAACAGATTGAGTGTACAAACAAAAAGCAATGTAATGATATAAAGTCTAGAATAAAGAAAACATTTATTCTTTATTATACCGTGATTTTAAATTTTTAAAAAATAGTTTGTAATCTTTGGACTATAGACTATAAATATGAAGATGTTCAAGGCTTTCATGAAGTTGGTCAGTTAGCACTAATAATGTATGTGTTTCTAATCCTCCTCTGCAGCTATATTAAAAATGTTTACAAAGCAATGTCTGTTGTTAGCAGTGAAGGAATGACTAGGTTTCTCTGTACAGTGTATAGCCCTCATTTTCTTTCTACACAATCTTCCTTTTCATGCCCTTCTTTAAGCATTGGCAGTTCTCTGACTGCCTACAGATTCCCATTCTCCTTAACTGCACTTTTCTTTCTTGATGTCTTCAAATTACAGAAGTTAAAAGTCACTTCCCTAATGCTTGCTCATTTGTATGTAGCCAGTGGTAAAGTGATGAATATTTTAATAGGCTCCACAAGGGGAAAAAAAACCTATGCATATACATATGCATGTAACTTTATTCTAAAATTTTACTGAGATAAACAGACATGTCATGATGTACAAATAATGACAAAAATATGTATTACTGTGCCAGATGCCAGTGGCTCATGTCTATAAATCTAGTTACACAGGAAGCAGAAATCTAAGGATTTTGATTCAAAGCTAGCCCAAGCAGACAAAACCAGGAGACTTTTATCTCCGATTAACCAGCAGAAAGCCAGTAGCTCAAGAGGTAGAGCACCAACCATGAGTGAAAAGAGTACAGCAGGAGTGCAAAGCTCAGAGTTCAAGGCTCAGTACATGCACACACACGTTTTTACACACATGAACACACAATACCAGGACATAAAGGGCTGGTAGCATAGCTCAAGCAGCAAATTATAGGCAGAGGTAAAGCCTTGGATTCAAACCCCTGTATGTATGCATGCATGCATGCATGTATGTATGTATGTATGTATGTATGTATGTGTGTGTATGTATGTATGTATGCACACAAGGATGGATAGATGAATACAAGTATAAACAGACTTAGAATGAAAGATAAAAGAGTTCCAAAGAAGGTTCATAAGACTATGTAAATATGTGTAACACTACATTCATAGTTAACAAATTTTATGTTATAAGTATTTTACTACAATTTAAAAAAAACTTTAGGGCAGATGAATGAAAAGAAAAATAGTGAACAAATAGAGCCATAGTACACAAAATGCCTATGCCAAAACTGAACTAAGAAACTTGGGACAAGATTGATGGGGATGGAGATATAAAGAGTGACTCTGATCAAAATACATTGTAAGCTGGGCACGGGTGGCTCACCCCTGTAATCCTAGCTACTCAGGAGGCTGAGATCTGAGGATCTCAGTTCAAAGCCAGCCCAGGCAGGAAAGTCCATAAGACTCTTACCTCCAATAAACCACTAGAAAACCAGAAGTGGCGCTGTGGCTCAGGCAGTAGAGCACTAGCCTTGAGCTGAAGAGCACAGGAACAGCACCCAAGCCCAGAGTTCAAGCCCCACAACCAACCAAAAAAAAAAAAAAAATGCATCGTATATATAAACTGACATATTACACAAAAACCCCCTTTGAAGAAAATGTTTAATAATTTTAATGATACAAATAGAAACTTCATCAAAGAATATATTAAATTACTCATAATCTCACAAAAGGGATACTCAACATCAATTTGTCATTAGGGAAAGGCAAAATAAAGCCATAATGAGATACTATTAATACCCACTGGAATAGATAAAATTAAGAAGTGGCCATACCAAATGTAGCAAAAATGTAGAAAAACTAAATCTAGAGTACACTGGGTAGATCACATTTCAAGGCCATTCAGGGCAAAAAGTTATCAAAACCCTATCTCAACCAACAAGCCAAGCAAGAGGGTAAGCATCTGCCTATAATCCTACCTAGTAGGAGGCATTGGTAGGAAGATAGCAGTCTAAGGTCAGCCAAAAATGGAAGACCCTATCCAAATAAATATGTAAAGCAAAAACAAAGGCTGAAGGCTCAAGTGGCAAAGCATCACTTGCAAGCACAAGACCCTAAGTTAAAACCGGAGTCACATTTCATACTCCCAAAAAAGAACAACTAAAACCCTTATACTGATGGAAATGATATGATTATTGTGGAAGACAATTTGGCAATTTCTTAGAAAGTTACATATACTTATACCATGTAACTCAACCATTCTACTCTTAAAATAAAAAGTATTATGTCCACACACACAACTGTACATAAATGAGTCACGGAAGCTTTAATTTCAATAACCAAAAGCTCCTGGAAATAATCAGAGTCCCTTACAAGTGAATGGACAAATTGAAGTACAGCAATACAGCAAGATACTCTTCATCAATAAAAAGAAATAAACTCAAAATAATTATGCTGTTTTAACCAGCACTGGTGGCTCAAGTCTGTAATCCTAACTAGTCAGAGCTGAGATCTGAGGATCATGGTTCAAAGCCAGCCCAAGCAGGAAAGGCCACATGACTCTTATCTCCAATAAACCACTCAGAAAACCAGAAGTGATGCAGTAGCTCAAGTGGTAGAGCGCTGGCCTTGGGCTAAAGAGCTGAAGGACAGAGCCCAGGCACAGAGTTCAAGCCCCACAACTAACACTCACTCTCTCTCTCTCTCTCTCTCTCTCTCTCTCTCTCTCTCTCACACACACACACACACACACACACACAATAATACTTATGCTGTTTTAAAAGAAAAACAATAAATAAGCATGCTGAGAAGGAAAACACAGACAAAAAGAGCTCCCATTATATGGGAACACATTGTATGATCCCATTAAACAAGTCTAGAAAGTTAACACTAGTCTGAAGAGACAGAATAAACTGGTGAACATGATGGGGAAGGAGAGCAAAAGAAATAAATAAATTATAAAAGGACACATGAACTTTTTTGGGGGGAGGGGTCCAGTCATGGGGCCTGAACTCTGGGTCTGGGCGCTATCCCTCAGCTCTTCAGTTCAAGGCTAGCGCTCTACCACTTTAGCCACAGCGCCACTTCCGGCTTTTTTCTTTTCGCTTATGTTGTGCTGAGGAATCGAACCCAGGGCCTCACGTATGCAAGGCAAGCGCTCTATCACTGAACCACCTTCCCAGCCCAACACATGAACTTTTGAGGAAAAGTTATGTTCATTTTCTTAACTGTCAGTGATAGTTTTGCATCCATATGTCAAACATCAAGCTCTATACCTTATATGCACTTGTAAGTTAAATCCTACCATATTACAGCATTTTAAAAAAAAATGCTTCTCACTGAGCTAACGTAGGTATGGAGAAAAAGTCAATCACAGCAAAACAAGTAAGTAACAGGGAACATGCACTGTAACTCTGGTAAGAACGCCTATCAAGCTGCATCAATATGGGGATGCTCTGGTAACCAATTCTAATCTTAGCCAGAAGGGAAAGTAAGTAGTTCTTTGGCTCAGCACACAGCTTTGCCTCATCCTATATTTCATCCTGATACTAAATCTGACCAAGGGACCTGTTTTAATCTGTTATGTTCATTCTCAAACTTAATTTGCTATTTTCTTTCTTCAATTTAAAGACTCTGGTCTCTCCTGTTTTTCTAGTCTGATTCTTGTCCAGCTTCATCAGTCCTGTTTCTAACCAATGTCCATTCTAGAAAGCATCCAGAAAGGCTTCTTAGAAACACTGCCTACTTCATAAAGACTGAGGACAGAAATAGGAAGAGTACAAGAGTAAATACATAAAGGAAGAAAATAAAAGCCAAATGAATCACAGACACAAATGCTGAATTGCGTGACAGAGATGAGAAATACAAGACAATCTTAGTGTAACAGAGTAACATGAGGCTAGAATCAAGCAGAGAGGTCTAGGCTTGATAAAACAAAATATGTGAAAATGTGGTGAACTCCTAAACAGACTATGACAACATGAAGCTACTATTAGTACAACACTGCAAACCATTGGTACAAAGGACAGATTAGAGACAAGTATGAAGAAAACTCTATTGGAATCAGGACAATGCTAAATTCAAGCATGAGGCACTTGTGCAATGGCATCAGTGCTAGTGAAAACTGAGAAATTAATGTTCTAGAATCTTAAAAAGAAAAACAGACTAGTGAACAGGAAGATGATGAGAAAGAGGAAGGATAATGGTAACATTTACTATAATGTATAGTTCAAAGTATTAATCTAATCCATACACTATTCTCCTAAAGACAGAAATCCTCTTCTCGTTTTACAAATAAAGAAACTAAAGCATAAAGGTTAAAAGATGTACTCACTGTCAACTCCACACTAGGACTTGGGGCTATATAGTTTTATATATATTCATATTCGGACTTGGGGCTAGCCAGTAGTAATCTATAACCCATGCTCAGAGCAACTACAAGAGACCCTCACGTTTGAAGGAATAATAAAAATAAAAAAAAACATGGAGTAAGTAGGGAAAAGCAATAAACCCGCAAACTGTTGTAAATACTTAAGAATCACATCCTATAGGAAAGGATTGATATTGAAACCATAATTAACTATGGTAAATAACATGGTTTATAATGGAAATCAGAACTCTTCATTTTAGTGAAAACTAAGACTGCTTGAAGTAAAAAACTAGTTGCAGGGAGAGATAAGTCAATTTGAACAGATCTGAACTTGGATAAAGAATATGCTGAGAGTATTTTTTTAATTAATATATCCCATATCCCCCCCCAAGAGGAAAAAATATAATTCATGAAATGAAAGAAAAAAATCTAACATTTTCTTGTACACTAGCTAAGAATCAGGTTAATGAAGAAAGCCAGAGTGATAACCACAAAATCTCACTAAAGATGTCTTTTCTTACCCATCTTGTTAACAGAATCTGTCTTTCTACATACATAAAGTTTTTTTAAAAAAAAACTTACAGTAAAGGAGGCTTGATTAAAGAACAGCTCAAGTTTCTTCATTTGAGCATCAGAGTCAAAACAAGGAAAACTTGAATTCCACAGATATTAAAATTTTCATTTTAAAGTGCTCCTCAGCAGGTAATCCCAGCTACTCAAGAGTCTGAGATCTATTTAGGTCCCATGGTTTCCCTTATTTGCAATAACTAGTATATGTCTGAGTCAAGCAGAAAAGGTCAGATAAGTTGATGTTAGGGAAATGAACCCTAAGATATGTATTCAAATGTTTTTTTTCTTTCAGGTGATTGCTTCTAACACATTTATAAGAGTATTTCTATGTTGCTTTGTATGTCCCTCCCCCACGGTATAACCCCTGCTTTCACTGTATTTGAGGTTGATATAATTTGTGGAGGGGAAGGGAAAAAACAAATTGTTTAAAAAGGGATACAGGGGGGCTGGGAAGGTGGCTCAGTGGTAGAGCGCTTGCCTTGCATGCCTTGCATGAGGCCCTGGGTTCAATTCCTCAGCACCACATAAGCAAAAAGAAAAAAGCCGGAAGTGGCGCTGTGGCTCAAGTGGTAGAGCACTGGCCTTGAGCTGAAGAGCTGAGGGACAGTGCCCAGGCCCAGAGTTCAGGCCCCACGACCAAAAAAAAAAAAAAAAAAAACCCAGGAGTTAAGGAATTTACTCATTTACTCAAGGACCTCATTTATGTAAACATCCCTTCTTACTCTTACATCAATTTTTCTTTCTCTACTAAATATTTATCAATATACACTTTAAAAACTCTCAAATGAAATGAAAACCCTTCCTTGATACCTTCCCATATAGTAACTGTCCTGTTTCTGTTTTACACAAAAATACTAAAAAGAGAAAGAGGGGCTGGGAAGGTGGCTCAGTGGTAGAACGCTTGCCTTGCATGCCTGAGGCCCTGGGTTCAATTCCTCAGCACCACATAAGCAAAAAGAAAAAAGCTGGAAGTGGAGCTATGGCTCAAGTGGTAGAGTGCTAGCCTTGAGCTGAAGAGCTGAGGGACAGCGCCCAGGCCCAGAGTTCAGGACCCACGACTGGACCCAAAAATAAATAAATAAATAAATAAATAAAAAGAGAAAGAAAAGGAAAAAAGAAAGAAAAACAAACTGTATATACTATGTACATGTGCTGACTTCATTTCCCTCACCTCTTATTCTTTCTTTTTCTTTTTTTATTTTTTTTTTTTGTCAGTTATAGGCCTGAACTCTGGGCCTGGGCACTATCTATCCCTTAGCTCTTCAGCTCAAGGCTAGCATTCTACCACTTGAGCCACAGTGCCACTTCTGGCTTTTTCTGCTTATGTGGTACTTAAGAATTGAACCCAGGCCTCATGCATGCAAGGCAAGCACTCTACCACTGAGCCACCTTCCCAGCCCTTCTTATTCTTTCTTAAACCCACTCTAGTGATGCTATCATGCCCACCACTCAATAGAAATTTCTTCTCAAGGTCACTAGTGGTCTCCATATTGCCAGATCCAATTGCTAGTTCTCAATTTTCCTTGAATTTGCCCCACTGGCAACATTTGGCACAGTTCATGGCATTATCTTCCGTGGCATACTTTTCATACATTGGCCCCACACACATACCAATTGGTGCTTTCCTTCTTTTTCACTGGTCTTCCCTTCAGTGTCTCCTTTGCAAATGATCTTCAGCATTCTAACCTCAAAAAGGGTGCCTTTCTCACTTTGTTAGGTTAGTCTTAAAGGTTTGGTCCTCTTCTCTCTATCTTTATTTTATTCCTTAGTTGATTTTTTCTTTAATTTTTTAAACTAGGTTTTGAATTTAGGGTCTTAAGCATTCTAAGCACTCTATAGCACTTAAGCTACACCACCAGGCTATTTTATTTCTTAGACAACCATACATTTCTTAGGCAATCTGGAATGACATTTAACTATTTACTTGAATCTCCACTTGGATATCTAATGAGCATTTCAGTATTAACAAGATCAAAACCAAACCCTATATTCTACAATAAATACTTCAAACCTATTCCTCCCTTCCACTTGCCTTCCCTTTAACAGAACAAAAGTAATTTCATCCTCCAGTTGCACAGGTCATCCATGACTTTTCTAAAACACACTGCTTCTTGACGACTCCACTCCCAGCCTCAAGTCCAAGCCATCATACACCAGCTCTTTTTCTATACTATTTTATTGTCTCCTAAACTGGACTCCCTTTCCACACAGTATGTCTAGACAGTAGCAGAAGTTCCTTTTCAAACCCAAGTCAGATCAAGTCACTCTATTTCTCAAAACTTGCTGTGATATGCTTTCTCATTCAAAATCAAAAGTCCTGTGACAGCCTACAAATGCTAGCACTCTGCTGACTATCTCATCTCCTCTATCACTCTCCCTTGCAAAGGCAGAGTGTCCCTTATCCAAACTGCTGGGGACAAGACGTGATTTGGAATTTCAGATATTTTCAGGTTTGGGAATAGTTGCATATGTGTAATGACATATCTGAAAGACATGAGCCAGGTCTCAGCATTAAATTCATGTATGACTTTAGTGTGTATGTGTGCTGGAACTGGGGCCTGAACTCAAGGCCTCCCACTCTTGATTGGCTTTTTCACTTATAGCTTGGACTCTACACTTTACCCATGCCTCCATTTCCAGAATTTTGTTGATTAATTGGTAATGAGTCTCATGGACTTTTCTGCACCAGCTAGTTCTGAGCCACAATTCTCAGATCTCAGCTAATCTAGGCATGAGCCTCCAGTGTCTCACTTACGCTTTATACATATGCTTATACATATATGCTGAAGATAATTTTTGTTGTGTGCTTGAATGGGGCTTGAAATCAGGGCCTTTCACACTTACTTAGCATTTTCCTCAAGACTAGTATTCAACCAGTTGAGCCACATATCCATTTAAAGCATTTTTCTGGATGAGAAAATTTCAGACTTGTCTGCCCAGGCTGGCTTCAAACCGCAGTCCTCAGCTCTCAGCCTCCCAGTAAAATACAGGCATGATCTACCAGTACCCAACTTCCTGAAGATTATTTTATACAGTATTTTTAGTGTGCCTGTGTTTTGATTTATGATGCATCACATGAGATAGGTGGCTGAATTTTTCACTTGTGGTGTGACCTTGATGATCAAGAGTTTCAGATTGATAACTAGTTTTGATTTTGGATCTACAGATTAAAATGTTCAACCAGCATATATTTTCCTGGCTATGTTAACAGCTTGCTTTCCCTCAAACACATTAAAGCATATTCCTACACAAGAACATTGAGCTTGCTATTCCTCAACCTGATACTTCACTCTTCAAGTGTATACTTTCTCCCATTATCCTGGCTGAAATGTTACTGTATCAGGGAGACCTTTTCTTACAATAGGAAATCTCTATCCATACTGTCACTCAGAACTATATGATAACTATTAGGAAGACAGAAAATTGGGGAAATGACAGATGGTAAACAAATTTTACATTTTATGTCAAGCAGTCTGTATCAGAAAGATTTATCCTCCAATCCAGCAGTAGGACGATTTTTTCTGAAGTTATTAAATTTGTTTTGCATGTTCCTTCGCAAGTTGAGGTATAAAGTAACATCTATTGTAAATACTTTTTTTTTTTTTTTTGCCAGTCCTGGGGCTTGAATTGAGGGCCTGGGCACTGTCCCTGAGCTCCTTTTATTCAAGGCTAGCACTCTACTACTTGAGCCACAATGCCACTTTCAGCTTTTTCTGTGTATGTGGTACTGAAGAATCAAACCCACGGCTTCATACATGCTAGGCAAGCACTCTACCCGTAAGCCACATTCCCAGCCCTGTAAATAAAATTTTAAACAAACTTACGGTGCAATAATGGCTCTAGCAGGTCTTTTTGTAGACTGTACTTGTGAAAGCCAACCTTCTAGTTGTGCATTCAGCTGCGGTCCTATAAAATGACAAAGAACAAAACTGGAGTCAGCAAAGTAATGCATTACAGACAACCATACAGGGCACAAAGCCCTCATTGAACCTATTTTGTATTCAAATAGCTCAATGAGCAGTGGGATCATCATTTTGGATGTTCAGGTTTGAATTTACCAACTACAAGGTTTCTGGAAAGTCATATGGTACGGTAACTATTTATTAGACAAAGCTTGTCTTTGTTAATTTACTTCTTTTTTTTTTTTTTTTT